TTTTTTTTTTTTTTGGTGTTTCACATAATTTCTTACTGTGGATGACATGATGTTAGACATAATACACATATGTTACGAATTTATGGTTTTAATATCAATAATGTCTAATCTTACACCTTATTGATTTATGTCAACTATTTTAAACGAGCCGAAATCAATCAATTTCTTCTCTTCCGGTTCTACAAATTGATTAACTAGATTAATTAAAATGATGATCAAACATCTAACTCTAGATTAAGCACAACTCGAATAGATTGAATGACAAACACGTACACATGAATCTCAATCACTTCTATAATCAAATAAAGGAAATTACTATTAATCACATGAATCTCAATCGTTATGGAGTGCCACAATCTCCAAAACTCAAATCCAAGCAAAATCCAAAGAAAACCAAGTGAAAGTTGTTGAGAGAATGAGTTTTGAGATGAAAAGAAAAAAGATAAAAGTCTCAATAATTTATTTTCTCTCCAGCCCTAGTCTAATATATCCCAAGGGTTCCAAAATCTTTCCCTCATATCGTCCAGGGATGAGATGAAAAAAAAAAACATCTGTTAAACCATGTATCGTTTTGCAAAGAATTGAAGGACGTGATATATTATGCAAAAGTTAAAAGGTTGTGATTAATTATGCAAAAAAATCGTCTGTTAAATACACATCAGCAGGTGTGTTGGCATTTTGAGTGCCATGTCAGACGAGTTGGGGCAGCAGATGTATCGTTTTACAAAGAATTGAAGGGCGTGATATATTATGCAAAAGTTAAAAGGTTGCGACTAATTTACAATATCGACAAAGGTCATGATATTAGTCGCAATTTTGCCAAATATTATGTCAAATTAGTAAAAATCTATTTTCAATAGGTCGCATGCTATTTTTGTAAAGATGCTGCATTCATTATAAATGGCATGCTTTCTAAAACAACACTAGTTAAAGTAGATATTTAATATTGTAAGTATTATTTCCTTCTGCAAATCTCTCTACATTTCGAAACCCATTGGACTCGTATATTCTATTTTTAGTAGGTTGCATATTATTTTTGTATATATACGTGCTTTCATTATAAAATCACATATTTTATAAGATAACATAAAGGAAAGTATGATATTTAATATTGTTTGTATTATTTTTATTTAATAATATGATGAATTTGACCACTTACCGATTAAACTGTCTCACATTATTCAGGCCATTCGCGATTTACTCAAGCGGGAGTGGAATGTTCATGTGTCACATATCTATCAAGAAGGGAATTTTTCGGCCGACAAGCTTGTTTCGCTGGCTGCGGGAATTCCAGTGGGGTACCAGCGTCTTCTCTCCCTGCCACCGGATCTTGGAAAGCTATGATATCGTAGGAGTGGCTCGTCCACGGCGTGTGCTGAATTAGTGATTGTTAGGTTTCGGCCTCTTTTATTGTACCAAAAAAAAAACTGTCCCACATTAATATATATATATATATATATATATATTCTATTTTTGTAATAGTATTGTATTGTGTTTGTATCTCTTCAACCATAATATCTTGATGTGTTTGTGGTGGGGAAGGAAGGGCCCAAATTCAATGGGTGTGTGGGTTTAGTGTGGGATGAAGGTCACATCATACTTTCCTTTCCTTTCT